TTTAAGTATATCTACTTATCAAAAATAGGTGGTGGCATGGTGAATTTTGTTTTAAAAGCAAAATAGACACTTTTTTGTAATAAAAATATGCTGTGGATACATATCGGGATTTTAAAATTAAGACTACAAGTATATTCTTTCCTGAACAGTTTCTGCATCCAGAACACCTTTCTCTTTCTACCTCCTCATGACTCAGTTTACACACTCACCCTTCTGCCTTTCCTACCCTTTCAAGCCAAATTTTCCCCTTTTCTAACATGATCTACATGACGTCACTTCTCACTTTCAGTCTAGTGTTAGAGCAGGGTGTCTCAACCTCGGCACTATTGCTATTTGGAACCAGATAACTTTTGTTTTAGGAAGCTGTCCTGTGCACTGCAGGATCTGTAGCAGCTTCCCTGGTCTCCAGCCACTAGCGTACCAGTAAAATGACCACCAATCCCAGATGTGACAAGCAAAGCTCTTCAGATATTGCCCAGTGTCCCTGGGGGGACAAAATCACCCCTGCTTGAGAACTAACGTATTAGAGCAACTGGTGTACATACAATTATTCAGGTTTGAATAACTGCCTCACTGTATGAGACTTTGTTCAGGGGTGATGCTCAGTAAATATTTGTAAACTGAATGCCGAGTAAGATGGTGTTTTATTACTGCAGTACATTGCTAGAATAATAAACATGCTGCTCTTATACACTGAACTCTCAGTTTTACTTGAGGACTTAAGAATAATTCTATATCCATTTTGGATTTGTTTATTTTTCAACGTTTGGGATAGATAGAGGAGACAAGACAGTGTTTTTCCAGATTGATACATCTCATTTGAACTCTGTGGTTCATAAATTTCTAATGGGACTCAATCCCTTGTAGTTTTTCTTTTCTTTTTTTTTTTTTTTTTTTACTACTAGAGAAAGATGACATCTAAATCTATTCCAAAAAAAGAACAAAGAAGGAGGAAAGCAAGGTGAAAACAAGAGAGAAAGGAGCAAGAAAAAAAAAAGGAGAGGAGGAAAAGAGAGAATAAGTGAGCAAGACACAGCAGGGTTTCCTGTACTTACAAGCCCATTTATAAAAAAGCTGAATTAAAAGAAAAATATTTTAAAGGAAAGTATATCTTTCAATTTGAAGATAGTAAAAAAATAATTCAAATAACTGTCATTTGTTTTTTCCCTTACATTTAATGTTACAGTTAATTTTCTAACACAGACAAGGGAAAAAACAGAAAAGAGAAAGAGATAAGAAAGAAAATTTTAACAAAAGAAAGGGAAAGAAGAAAATGGAGTAAGGGAAGATTTTATGAGAGTAAAAGTAGAACATGAATGCTTTAAAAAGCACACAGATTCTAAAGGACCCTAAGTCCTTTTACACAACACATAGATGGATTAAACACTTGCATAATGATTTAATGTTGTTATAAACAATAATTTCCCTCTACTGTATGAATTAGAAATTAAGGAGAAAAAAAATCACTTTGTGTTTTATTGATCATAAGGTAAATGAAACATATGATTTTTTTTTCCAAATAATGTTTACTTATTTATAAGTTGAATTTCATTAATTAGTTCTGTAATAAGAAATCATGAGAGAAAAAGCTCAAGTGACGGGGAAATATTCATTCAGGTCATTTGGCCATTATACTTACTGTCAAGAAGATATACACACAATGGTTAAAAGCAGAGAATCGAGATCTAGACTAGGTGAATTAGAACCTGGCTCCCCACTTTGTAGCAGTGTGACCCTGAGTTTGGGTTCCCCCAGATGCAGAACCTGAGCCAAGCACCAAGGGTAATGGTCTACCTGGCAAAGAATCCCTCTGAGCACGACAGGAGCTCCATCTCACAGGGGAACTCTGGAGTTCATATAGAACACACATCAGAGCTGTCCTGACTGAGGAAACTGAAGTCTGTTTTTTTTTAATTTGCCACCCTCCTGTCTTTACTGGTTGAGGGCTGCTTCCTGGGGCATTAACTCTCTGATAGGCTGGCTTACCCGGAACGGGGCTAAGCTTGCTTCTGTGGCTCCTTGGGCAGAAACTGGCAGAGATTTGCAGTATGCGGTGCTAGCTTATATTTCAAATTTTATATTTAAATATAAACACCAGTTTGGTCTTTTAACACCAATATAATCTTTTAAAATTGTATTAACAAAATATAAGTTAGATAAACAAAAATTAAATACAATAAATATTCACGGGTATTTGGTGTTAAGTCCTAAAAATTGAATAATTGCAACAATATTTACACTGGAAACTGAGACTTCATTTGGTCATTTTGGACTCTTCATGCTCCCAGGATAACAGGTACAAAAAGGAAATAGTTGATCCTACTATTAACTGTAAACGCTCATCTGCAGGGAAGAGTACCAAAGGACTCCAAGCGTGGAACCCAAGTTCTTCTCTTTCAAGGCATCCAGTGTCAAATGTTAGTAGGAGAGTATAGCACCCCATATAAGTCAGACCCTCAAGAATTCAACTTTTCCATGTTTCTCTGTCAGTTAAAGAACCTTGGAAGCTGAGGCTGCTTTGAAGCCAGAGGAAACATGGACTGGACGGGGGCATCTGGAAGTCATAGACAAACCATGACTTTAGAGTCTGTAAGAGGAATGAAGATGTGTCCTCTACTATATTTTTTTTTGGGTCGTGTCATAAATAATTCTATTATTCAGCTAATTTTCATCTTATCTCTCCTTTCCCTCGGTATTTTATAAAGGATATAGTGTTACTGCCTAACGTTTTTATTCAGTCTTTGGTAATGAATATTGCGATGGGATTGTGATAGAATTAGAAGAAGAGAGGGAGTGAATATAAACTCAGAAATCCTGCATCCATTAACTGATGAGAATTTGGCTTGCCTCCACTTTTGATTGAACAACGGTTATATTATATTAGGCACTGGTATTCCTCCCTTCCCCCCTCCTTCAATTTGGAGGTGTAAAAACACCTATTAGAGTAGGTGGAGAGGAGAATTGTAGAGAGACGGCAGTTGACAGTGAAGCCCCCATCATCACCCCATGGAAAGAATATATGAGCTCAAGTGGCCCCACAAGAGGAAGGTGGGCTTCAGCCTTCTTGCTGGGACATCATTCCACAGGGCTGGCCTCTAGGAGCAGATATTCAAGGAGCAAGAATCTATGGTGTGCTCTGCAGGAGGCAGTCGCTGAGGGGTCCCTGAAGGGACCTGGACCAGATTCCACTCACCAGGGAGCCGAACAGATAGGAGGGCTTCTCAGAAAAGCCAGAATTTTGATACAAGGGACATTGAAGATATCTATCTTCCTCCTCCCCTTCAGTTTCTGCACCAAAACTCTGAAGCAGAGAGGGATCTAGAAGAGGGCAGGGAGAGGGAGAAAAGGGCCCATCAAGCTCCCCTCACACCTCAGGTCCTTTGGGCCCAATCATGCCTGGCTTGGGGCATTTGGGGGGGATGATGAAGTAGGTAAGAAGGAGATGGAAATAGTTTCCACAGAGTTTGGTTGAAAATGCAAAGCCGTTTCAGATCGATATTCTGCCAATTTCAGTTACGCAAAAATTTAAAAAATTGCTTACTCAGAAAGAGCCACAAAAGGGGAGCAAAAAAGAAAAAGAGAGACCAAGACTAAAATAAGTCATGTTAAGTCAGGGGGTTATTGGGATTATGGATCCTCTTATTTTCCCCCCATATGTTTTTAATGTTGCTGTACAACACGTACAATAAAAAATAAATACATGTGCCAAATTCCATATACCAAAATTGACGTACATATGTAATCTTTTGGTGTGACATCTATGCTAAAACATGGGCTGCATGTGTGTGTGCATACACACATAAATGTATAACCCATAAAAGCAAAGCAAAGATTTTATACACTCACATTCTCTGGGAATAAAGCTACAACACTATATGATGTATTAGAATTGCATTCATATTTATAAAATTCAGAAAACCTTGAGGGATCATGAATTTTGAGGGTAATGTTTTGAATATTTCTGTATCTCTTGACAACCCCTTATGAGCTCAAATTTTTTCTCCTTCCTGGAACCATCCCAAGATGTAATCTGGGTTTGCATATCACATTAAAAGGAACATTTGTAACATTTAATTGGACATTATCAGAAAGCACCAAGTGTTAAAGACAGGCCTAGCACCTACTGTGGAATTATCTTTGATATGGTTAGAAACATTAAAATATCCATGAAGAAACAAAGACTAGTCTGGAGTATTTTCATCACAGGAAAAAAAAAATCTGTGTGCTTTCTTTTCTGAGCATCTCTCATGAATGAAGACAATGTCCTCCTATTTATTTTTATTATTTCTCTGGTGCAATTTGAGCCTGCATTTGGCTCTTTTGACTCATACCGACATTTTCAATAATTTCTCAGAAATGCCAGATATTAAATGCATGTAATTACCAAAATATAATAAATCAAAAAGCAACTTGAAAGAAAGGTGTCTTAACAGTAATATCCTAGAAGCTTATGAGGTGGGAACTTTGCCACATGAAATAGATCTGAGTTTCCAATAAAATACTTGCCTCTTGGCCTGTTTCAAAGTAAAAGTTAGAATTTTTCTCATAGAAAATTAGAATAAAATGAGATTTCCCTTCCGGAAACACTAGAGCAGGAGATTTTATATCTGAAGTCAGGATTTGGGAATTATTCTCACATTTCGGAAGTTGCCAAGACCAGCAAATACTGAATCTTTTGTACTGAATTGAAGATAATATCACAGTCATGGATATTCAAAACTAGGTTTTACTAAAATTTCTGGAGTTAGAATCACCAACGAGTCAACCATTCCATACAGTTTTCGTATTAAGCATAACCCAGTGTTATTGAAATTATTTATAAAATCATAATTCACGAGTAGTGCTAAAAATATTTGGTAATTTTCTATTAACCATAATCCTCCATTCTTATTGATGCTTTAATTTATCATAGTGAAAATTATTACTATTTATAATAACTCTTAAGTTTAATTTCAGTTGTTTTCAGTTTACTTTATTTTCACATCCAATGTGTTACTTACTCTGTGAGGTTTGAGTGTCTATGAATTTCTTTATCAAGGCATCAGTAGTTTGGGTATAAAGACTGAGAGCATATCTCAGAGACTGAAGATCTGGGCTTTTCTCCAGGAAATTCTTCTTCAGGCCACTTCCTCCTGCATGAAAGTATTGCTAGAAAGAAAAAAATAGTAGTGTAAGCAGAGGCATTTAGAAAGAAGTATTGGAGGAGGGATTTTATTGCTGTAATAGTGAAGCTCAAATGGAATAATACAATATGATTGACACAAGGTAGATATAAAGAATAATGCTACCATGTACCCATTGCTAAGTCATCATCACGTAATTCAGGTTCCCTCAATATCATTGAAATGATGCTCTATGTCACAGACCCCAGATCCTTGAGGCTTAAGACTTTTCTTCTCATTCCAGACTTTAGTTAAGCAAATGGGATCATGAAGAGGCAGTGGTCAGAATGCTTGTAAAATGACAGGTTTAGAGAATAATCATCAACTCAGTTATTGACTTCTGTTTCCAGAGCATGAGAAAAATATCCAGAGTTATCAAAATAATTTCACAAAGAAGATAGCTTCTGGTCACATATTTTCCAGATACTAGTTTGCGATTCTAGGCCATGTGCCCGCTGCTCCATCTTCCCTATGCTCTAATCACACAAGATATAGACAGTCAGCCTGAAGATGCAGAGTTGTCCTTAACCCCTGAATCTTGTGTCTGATAAATGTAATAAAATGTAGAGCTTTTGTTTTGTTTTGCTTTTTGCTATTGTCTTCCCACAAACTCAAAACATTACGATATTTATAGGTAAGGCAATACAGAAGATGCAGGCTCTTTGACAATAAATATTGTGATTGAGGGATGTTAGCATGTCTCCTGCTGCAAGTATTATGCACAGACACCATTTTGGAAGGCAGAATATCTACAGATATGTGATAAAACTAAGGATTTTTTTCCCCAACCAGTTGTAGATGATAACATATTTGCCATATTCTGTTAAGGTTAGATAAATGGTTCTCTCTCTCCCTGTGCCAACAACGCTAAACTACACACTCATTGCAACCTGGTTCACTGTGATCTATGACTCTCACAGAATGACATATTTTGAAAAAGCTCAACAAATGATTCTGATACACTCTTTTAAACGGATATGTGTTATCCCTGTATCCCACTCCTTAAAAATTTCTGAGGTAAAACAATTGAGTGAACTGAAAAATATTAATTATCTTAATTTTCTCCCCTATGCAAGGGGAGATGTAGAGAAATATTCTGGGCATTTGTAGGCATCTGAGTTCACTTTCAAAGAGTGCACTGTAGAGAAGATTCAGGGCATATGCCAGAGAAAATAGGTGACGGGGATGTAGTGTGAAGAAAGACTGCTACAATTGTAGACACTCCAAGGAGAAAAACCTATGGCCACTTAAAATTCCATTGACTGATTCTAGCTGGGTGCAGTGTAGAAACACAACTTGTGCCAAAAGGTACCAATGGTTATGAAGAGGAGGCATATAAGAATGGGAAAAGCTTTTTATTACTTTTTAAGAGATGGCAAAGATACAATATTTAAAATATTCTACACCTTGATCTTCTTTTATATATTTTGAATGTTTAAATATTTTAAAATGTTAAAATATTTTCATATGTAGAAAGTGTTTATTGACTACTACTAATCCAGAATTGTTTCAGGTGCCCTGGTGGGTGCAAAAACCTATAATAGTTCCTTTCTTCAAGAAACATGGTTTGATATGTAAGGTGGAAGATATTAAATGACTATACTGAGAGGGGCAGGTTTAGCCTGGACTAGACTGTTTCTCCTGGAGGAGCGGTTGGGTGCTCCCTGAAGGTCTGTTTACATAACGATCAAAGGAGCCATCAGATAAAATAACTCACCCTACTTCTAAAGAGCAGTGGGATAAACTGAATCAGGAACAGGCAGGGGCTCTGCAAGGGAACGCATTCTCCCTCTCAATGTTTCTCAGACAAGCCCCAGTCTTATCAAACCTGAGAATAAGTGCTAGGAGATTATAATAAAAAGAAGAACAAGAATCAGCAGCTAAAATGACGTTTTGCCATCTCTTGGGACTACTGAGAGTTGTCAGGAAAAATTGTGGAAGACTTTAAAATGGGCAAAAATGATTAGTGTGTGGTCTGTCTAGTGTACCCATCTGGGTTATCTTTGTTTTTCATTGTGTTTGAGCTATTTAAAACTCTGTAAATTGTAGAAAATGGATAATAATGTAAAAGACTCTTGTCCATAGAAATGCAAATTAATTATTTCTGGTGGGATGCAACTGATTATTGTTCTGTGGATCGGTCTGTTTTGCTTCTATTTGTAAATTTATTTCGGCTTTCCTTATTGTTTATCCTTACGTGTAGTTCTTGGAATTCTCCTTTGAGCCAGCTGTGAGAGCTTAGTGTTTCCCTCATTAACTGATGAGTTAAATAACATTTTTGACAAGTTTTTTAATCGCATGAATGTCACAATCATATTTTCTTTTAAAAACTGTTCTTGGGGCTGGCCAAGTGGTGTAGTGGTTAAGTTCGTGTGTTCTGCTTCGGTGGCCGAGGTTTGCTGGTTCGGATCCTGGGCGCGGACTTACTCACCACTCATCAAGCCATGCTGAGGTGGTGTCCATATAGAAGAACTAGAAGGACCTACAACTAGGATATACAACTATGTACTGGGGCTTTGGGGAGAAAAAAGAAAAAAGGAAGAGGAATATTGGCAATAGATGTTAGCTCAAGGCCAATCTTCCTCAAAAAAAAAGAAAAAAGAATGATCAGTTGCTTACTAAAGGCCAGGCACTTTGCATATTAAAAAAAATGTTCTTTAACAGTGCATATAAAGCAGCACCGTGACAGCATTCATAAGAATGACTATAATTTTTACTGTCGAATTTGTGAGGATAGGACCATGGGCCTTTGGCTCACCCTGACAGCATCAGTGGTGGGGTCTGCCTTCCTGCCTGTTCTCTCTCCCTCTGTCCCTTAACAAATATTTATTAAGCCTGTGTCATGAGCCAGGCCTTGTGCTGGATGCCAAGGTTATCAAGCAAAAGAGGCCCAGAGATTGTTCTTAAAGGGATTATAATCTAGCAGGAAATGTAACCAAAATATCAACAAATGATTCCAATAATATGCTGCAGGTATAAGAAAAATGATTTGAAAATATAGATAATGAGGGTGGCATACAATTCTATTGGGGGAAGGAGTCAGTAAAGGCTTCCAAAGAAGTGACATCTTTGGTGTTTAGCAGTTTATCAGCACTGCCATTTTTAACTTCAGCAGCCAGTAGATGATTCACTACAGTGGACCAGAGAAAGAGGACAATCCTACTAGGTAACCAAGAGAAACTCTGGGAATCCCAGCACTTAAGAATTGAGGTACTTGTAGTTCTCAGATTTCTTTGTTATAGTTTAAAATATATTGTTTTGCTGCTGTTACTCTATTCTTACCACTAAACCTGTGCTGCCCAGAAGCCACAAGTTGCCTCTAGGCAGTAAAGGGCCTAGAAAAGTTAAGAGATGACATTGTACACTTAAAGATTCACAATGTCATTAACATATTACAGGATCTGAGACCCACTGAGATAAAGAAATCTGCCTAATCTTTCATTAACATATCTCTTCTTAAAATTCCTTGGCTATAGGATGCCTATCACATAGGACATCTATTAACATGTTTGGGGACACAAGTGTTCCATGGAATATGGTTTAGGAAACCCTAGGATAGAAGAATGGGACTGGACTTCGTATAACAGATATTTTTGAGCATCTGGAAGGCTTCATGGAAGAAGAGAACTAGAGTTAGACTATGAAGCGTAAACTATGTATTTATTCTTGAACCCCCCTAATAATTTTATAGGAAGACATGTTTTTACCATGAAGGAATTATTTTGTAGGTCTCTGGGACACAAGGGACTAATCATGAAGTGAAAACAAATAAGATATGAGTTTGTTCCTCAGAAGAGCCTAAGGCTCTGCCTAGAGTTTTAGGTTATGATACTGAACTGACTTCCTCCTTTTTAACCATGGGGTATAATGAATCATTCTACTAAAGTTTCTAGCAGGATAGTAAGTGAACAGTACAAGATCTGTAAGGGCAGAACTGATGCCTTTGTCTTTTGAGTGCATTGTATAATAAATAGGAGATGTTGCAGGACAAACCCAGGACAGAAGATGCAACGCAAGGAGAGAAAACAAGTTGCTAAGAATGAGAACGTCCGTTCAGTGAACACAGATAAATAACACATGCCCTCATGGGCTCCTCACTCAAAGAGTGAAGGAAATGATTTCTACAGTTATGCAAATACAAACTCAATGAAAATGCTACTTTACAGAAGCCCTTCACACAGTGTTCAGAACCTGGGACAGCTCCTAAGAGCATGGGTCTGTTTATCTCACTGGCATGGATAATCAGCAGACAGGGGGCTGCAGTTATCGCCTGCACCTTGGCATTCAGAGATCTCACATTCAGTTTTGTCTCTTTGCAAGAGCCCCTGAATGAACAGGAGAGTAGAATTGTATTTTGCTGAGGCTTGGGTCTGAAGAATATAAATGTGGGGCTGATGTGTGGGAGTGAATGCCTTAGCTATTAAACAAAACCCATTATCAACTGCTCAGTGCAGCCTAGTTGATCTTCATTCATTATAATAAGCATTTTGTAGGGGAATTATATAGTAGAGGGGAATTTGTGAGTTTGGGGTTTTAAAGACTTCTGGATGTTTCTCTTATGCATGAAAAAAAGTGGATTTTTCTCCCTTGGTTCTAAATTTAAAAACTGGGATTCAGCGTCTTATTGTTCTTCTGCAAACTGCAACATAATCCAAGAACCTCCAGTTTGACCTGTTCAGGTGTTTTACTTAGATTGGTGCAAATTAGAAGAAAATAATTGGCAAAAGAACAAGTTGGGACAGGTCATTTCCTCCTTATTCAAGAAAGGAATTTTCAATCAGTTAGAGAAGTGAGGAAAAGTTGGCTGTTTAGTGCTATGAAGGATATGGATGTCAGCTGGGTGACATTCTCTCTACCCTTGGCCCTGTCCTGGCTGATATTTTCACCACGGGCTTAGACAGACAAAGGCAGAGAGCCTGCTTTTCAAATGTGCAAAGCTTGAGCCAAAGCTTGATGTTATTTGATTGGATGACAGAATCTGGCTTC